TTCGGTATTTCTTATTTCTTGTTCCATTGATCATTATCTTTTCTTCTTTTCTCTCTATTCAACTTCTTTTTTTCTCGTCTATTTGTACTGTGAGAATCTTTCTGATCGCAGTTAGAGCCTAATAAAAAAAAAAAAAAAAAAATCAATGTATATGACCTAAATAGAGGTTTATTACATTACACTTATTATGTTCAATAGATATGTCGGTATGTATTGTTATACATAGAAGAATCATTCATCTATAATAACCATACATAGAATTACGGTTCTAACACTGTTCAATTCTTTTCACCAATTAAACTAAGAACAAGTTACGTAGCGTAAACACTGCTCATCCTCTAATGAAAGAATGAATAATGTTGATGATAGGATATTAGAAGTGTTAGATATGTAAAAATGATTATTAAGAGACGGTCCATGAGAAAATCAAAAAAATTCGCATATCGAAAAACATGGGGGTTAACCGATATTGGATTTGACCACCTAGGAATATAGGTCTTAATGTACCATATATGAATCCAAAATATTACGCTTGAAAGATCTACTTGTGGTTCGTTAGGACGAACAAACCTGAGACATCCAAAAAATATCTTGAAAAAATGGCAAAAAATTCAACATTTACTTTTCGTCAATTTTTTCCTTCAGATTTTTCCACCATTCAAATCGAGTCATATACCAATCGATAGAGCGTGACTTGATCTACAAAACGGTATGTATGACATTTCTCCTCAATCATGGTGATGAAGTCAAAAAATCGAAAAACAAATTTTTTGTCGCACATAAAATTTCATGATTTTTTTTTTGTATTTTGACCAAATTCCTAGGTCAAAAATCGATTGCCAAAAATATTTTCATATCATTTTTTAGCTCATTTAATTCTGCATCGAATCATATATTTGACAATGTTTCACAACGTTCAGCACATGAGATAATCACACCCGAACATTGACTGATAATACATATTTTTAGCCAAATTGAATATACCATTATAATAATATTTCCAATTCTTTTTTTTCAAAATTTTTCACTATTCAAATTGAATCATATACCAATCGATAGAGCGTGACTTGCTCTACAAAATAATACATATCAAATTTCTCTTTAATCCCGGTATAGAAGAAAAAAGTCAAAAAATTGTATTTTTTGACATAATTTAAAATTTATTTTTTTCGTCATTTTGATGAAACATTCATGTCACAAGGTGAATACCAAAACCAATAGCATCATCGTGTAGCCTGTTCAATTTTCCACTGCTTAATGTATTTCACATTTATTTGAGATATTCTGCAGCCGAGCCAATCAGATTCAAACATTAAAAACTAACATCATATTTAGTTATGATCTCTCAAAGAAATCATTTTTTTTAAATGTATTTCCAAATTTTGCGCATGCATTTCAATCAAATATAGAATATGATATTTGAATCATTATGAATAATTAATATGGTGCGAAGCACAGCATTTATGTGGTCCTTTGCGAGTTTACTTTTTTTCATTTATATTTTACCTGTTGTATTACTAGATGGTGTGAATCTCTTTATTTTGAACGAGTGATTGATGATGGTGTTGGTTGTGTATCTGATAAAATAGGATGATGATTAACATTATTTGTATCGCCGATTGTCGGTGTAACAATAGGATTCATTTTTGTACCAGCATTATTATTACTATTATTACTTGTTGATGTTGGTGGTGGACGTTCTGGAACTGAATGAAATTGACTCTCTTCAATCATATCACGTCGTTTCTGTGCTAAACCATCACAATAACATTTAGCTGATGCAAACAAATGATGACGATGATCTTTTTAATCTGCACATATAGCTTTAATACGCCGGTCAAGTGAAACATAAAATCTTGTCATTTTTGAATAGCTAGGCAAAATAACAGTCAAGACTTGTAATATATTATGTATTTCTATATATATAATTATTTGAATAAAGATAAACAATAAAAATTGTCGTCAATTTATAATACCATTTATGAGAAACATGAAGAAAATTATCATAATCGAGTTGTTCAAGTGTTTGTGTTGTAGCTGCTATTCTCGATGCTGCATTACTAGTATTATGCAAAACAGTAAGAAAAACTGGATGTACTGCACATTTCTAGAGATTTTGTTTTTTTCTTGTTAAATTATATTCAAAAATAAAATTTACTAGAAAAAATATTTATAGCCCAATACGCTAGCTCGATTATCGCTACAAATTTATAATTTAATTACCTTGTCACATTTGTTCTTATCTTCATGCTAACTCATAATAGTTTCTAATAATGATTCAAGAAATCTTCTATAATCTATAGCTTGATTTTCTGAACATGAAGCAAGTGAATATGATATATCAGAAAATAATCGATCATAACAAATAATTGTACTAAAATTTGGTGTTACTAAATCATGTATAACACGTATAAAATGTACACAATAAAGTGCATCTATTTCATTTAACAAACATCGTGGAAAAATATAGAATTGAAGATATTCACTTATAGTTTCGGCTTTGATTTTATTTCCTGAAAACAAAATAAAAATAAAATTAAACAAACGTCTCTGTTTTTTTCATTCTGATTATTATTTCTATTAAAAAGAAATATTTAAATTTAACATACGATTTTTAAATCAATGTTCACGTTCTATATTAAGCCATGCACGTACTCGTTCAACATGTTCTTTTTGTTTAAATAATTCCTCTTTAGGTTTATCTATAATAATATAAATTTTTTCTTTTTCTTTACGTTGTTTTGCTGCTATCTACAAGAAAAGAAAAACCGAATGATCATTGTATAATAGGTTTATTTTGAACAAACTAATTCTTTTCGTTCATCAATTTGTGTCATTTCATGTTCAAGTTCTTCAATATGTCGTTTATATGCAACTTCTGGTACTTGTAAATTAGACATTGATAATGAGCAAAATGTTAAATTAAATTGTGGTCTATTAAAATTTTATAGATAATCATAGTTAGAAAAAGAAAATTTTTACGTACGTCATGTCTTCCCATGTTGGTTGCAGATGAAGAGTTTTAACGAAATCAAGTACAGGCGACATAACAAACGTTACGGTCTCAATATAATTTTGGATCTGAAGTTTATCAGATGCCGGACATTTTTTTCATCATAGGAAAAAGAAGTTTTATATTTACCGATACACTTTTTTTCGATGATTTTGGTGTTGTTGATTGAAATTCATCAAATTTGCCTAAGTAAAATAAATTTAATATATTTTGTAATATATATCAATATTTACTTGAATATTGAGATTAAATAATGGTCGAGATATTTTGAAAAGCTGCATCCACTTGTAAATGAAAACCAAGTACAAGATCATCAATTGAAGAAAATTTTCTGTTGTTAATACATTTGATAAAAATGTAAAAAATTGTACCATTGTAACTTGACACTAAGAGAAAATAATTTTTTCTTATTTTAAATATCGTTCTTTTCAATCTTAATTTTTTCATAAAAAAATTGTTTTCTATCAGTCGAAGACTAAATTTGAATTTTGACTGTAACATATATTTAAAGGAAAAGGCAAATATACAATGTGATAGAAAACTCCATGCGCTTTCAGAATATATGATTATGTTTTAAAAAATATGCAACTATGATGACGATATTTCCAAAATACAGACTAATGCTTATTTTTTTCCAGGCGTATATATATTTCATTGCAGTTTCTTTGTTGGATTTTTTAAAATTTTTTGTAGAATAATTTTAAAAATATTATTGGAATAAATTTCTAAATTATTTGTTGATAGCAATTTTTGATAAATTTTCCAATGGCATTTCTTAAAATACTAAAATCTTTCAATATCAATTTAATTATTAGTAAAATCTTTTTTAGAATCTTTTTTAGCAATGTTTATGTAAATGCGAAGTTCGATTCTGTTATCAATCGTCTGTCCAAAGTCAGCAATTCTGGCATCACAAGAAAAGATTTTTGTCTTAGAATAGTACCTAAAAGTATCACTTCTCTCAATCGAAAAAGCGCGTCTTTAATTTTCGAACCATCAGACAGTGGACAAACACAGAAGCAATTTCCATTTTGCGTACTCATCCTTACAAGATTGAGAATAACAATTAGTGGATTTGTTTGTTGATGACCTTGTACTGAAGTAAGTCTCTTTGCAACAGATGACTTAGCTTGTTGATGCTTAGTGTTTTATATACCATCTTGTAGACAGTGAAATTCTGTATCGAATGTTATATAATGCTTGAAATTTCGTTTTGATTATAAGAGAAAATTTTGTTCATGAAAACCTGGATAGGTCAATGTATCAATAGAAAAGCATATAAAATAATCACATTTTCGAGTATATAACTCAGGAAGATATTGACCAACCATTCTTATCTTCGAACTCCACTGAAATATCCATAAGACGATTCTATGCACAAAAATTTCAGAATAATCAGTCTTTATCCTCAAAAGTTATTGTGCAAACGGATAAACATATTGACCGATTCTGGAGTGTGCTCACTTTTTGAGTAGGTAAAAAGGAACTCTGTCAGGTCCTGAATCTGAACATACTCTCGCAAATGAAAAACACTGAATAAATCATTGTTTGTTCGGAATTATGAAACTTTATGTGCTATTCGCCCATGCTGATAATGAAGGATATTTATTTCAATCTATTGCAGTGAGTGAAATAGGAAGATAAAGGATAACTATCATGCTAATCTCGCAATACATATTCATACTAGAGTTATGTGTCTCATTAGCTACAATAGTACAATGAATCTGCAGTATTGTTAGCCATCCTGTAGACAAAAATGCTTTTCCATAGCACCCTCAAATTAATCTTACTAAATACTGATGTCGACCAAGAAACACTTATGACTTCTTTAGTTTATTTCAATTGGTTTATGTTTCGCTTCATTATTCAAGCTTATTGTTGATTTAATTATGTTGGCCTCGAAACATACAATGCATACAACATCAGAATTAGTTTCGAACTGCCATACAACGTTCAGAGGTTAGTCCTATATACCCTCAATGTATTCTTAATTTCTTAGTTGGAACTAAATATACAAATTATATGTTGTTTTATCAGACCTATTCAACGTTTTATTATAGATCAATTTGTCGTTTTGGGCAGCTTTATGCCCCCGACATAAGGAATTTCAGTATGGTCTTTGTTGAAGTCGTATATAAGTTGAATACAGAACTATACAATATTTTCTGTTTTCTATGCTGAATTTTCAATTTATATGACCCTATTAAATATATGTTTAACCCAATATTATCTTTGTTGAGATGTTCAATGACTTTTTTCATTCAATTTATTCATAACTCTCCCTTTAAAGCGTTCATTTAATTACATGAAAACAGAAGTGAAGCATCCTTGAAAACTGTTTAACAAAAAGCATATGCATTTTTTATGTCCATATTAAAAAAGCCACCTGCCCATTATTAAGTAATAAAGCAGCCATTAAAAATATCATATTCTTGATAAATATTATTACATTTTCTAATATGTGAAGATGTGCAAAAAAAAACATATTTTCCAAAGTCGTTTTTTTCTCCTATTGACTCCAATACAGCTCTGGGGCTCACCGTATACCTTTCTTTCTCTCATTGACTACGTTGCTTTGAAAATCTCGAAACATGTTCAACTCACTATTAGACATTTTCATTGACATAAATCCTAGGATATGCCTCCAAAACCTCGTCTGTTTGTAGATAGAGCTAGTTTTATTTTTACAAATATTCACTTTTTTTAAAAAAGTTATCGATATTGACAGGTTCCTATTGTGTAGATCAAGCGATAAAACAAAATATATTTTTAACAATCGATAGCTCGTTAAGTTTACTATTACAAAAAGTGTTTTTGAAGTTTTTCAATCCTACTCATTCTTAAACTTGTCTTTTCTTCAAGGGATAGTTGGTCTGTTTATAATTGATTTACGAACACGACGAGCTCATTTCAGCGTTTTGCCCTCCTTGTAGTAGACGCAAAAAAGTCAGAAACTGTTTATCAAACAAAAGAAGAAGCACACCAACAACAATTACAAGAATATTTTGTTCAATACGAAATCCGACTTTCAGTGTAAATGCCTTCTCATTATGTCCTTCACAACTGTTGAACCCACGAGGAATTTCTGTTTTCTGGATTTAACATGATTCGTCTTGATCGGATAGCAGATGAAATTTTCGTGACCAAGAGTAGAATTTATCATTTGTTCGACAATTATCATCCAATGCTTTAACAGTGAATTTTTCCGTGATCTCTCTGAAACATGCATATACAGCTGTATTTTTTTTCATTTTCTCTTCGTGCAGTGTCGACATTACATACACATACTATTCTACACAACAGCCTCTACCTATTCCTCGAATGCAAACAGGTACCATCGAATTGGAAGCAACTGTCACTGCAACAGTACCAGTAGAAGACCAGCAACAACCACACACATCATTCGGTTCTCGTTCTTCTCAACTCTCTTCTACTGAACATCCCGCAATAATTCAGGACGGTGACCACCAAGAAGAGGAGCAAGCAGCGCAAGCTAATCATCACAGGGCGAATATCAACATGGATGAAGAAATTTTGAAAATCAACACGCTCTCAATCACTTTTGCAGGAGCTTTGATCACACTTGCAGGGATTATACTTTATTTTACACGCTCTCTTATTTCTTCTCGTTTAAGATATTTTTTACCTATACCACCTATTGGTGTTGCTGCATATGTGTTCGTTTTTAATATATTTAAATTTTATAACGCTTCTGTACCTCGTTTTTCTGTTGTTTTGGTTGAAATATTGTTGAGTACATTGACTACAACTTTGGCATTCTTTTTGTCAGTCGTGTTGATGGTTTTGTTTATTTGGCTGATTTTGTGAAATGTAACGATATTATTGAACGAGCTAGAATATATCAATATATTAAGTAAAATATGTAGATGAAATTTTTCATTTTATTTACGAGCTTTCGATACAACTTGTATCATCATCAGGCATAATAAAAAAAATTTNATCCCACACACACACTCGCATCCACTCACACCCTCCAAGTAGATGTCTTCTCATCAATTAGATTCAATAAAACTATCCGTATCATGTATTTAATGTAGATGCAGGGCTGGCCCGACCGGGGGTTGTTGGGGTTGCGACAACCCCCCAATATTCGTGACGCACCCTCGAATATTAAAGATATTTTTCTTTTTTTACTTAATCACAACCTCGCAAAAAAATATTCATTACGTCATACTCAATGGTAATTCTTCTGTTCATCGAAGTCTGTCTATAATGAAACAATCAGCTAAAAAACTGCCTTGTATATTTTTTATTGATTTATTTATGTAAATTAAATTATATTTCAACGAAGACCTCGGTCATTGTCAGAATGACGAACTGTATATGACATATATATACTGAAGAAACAGAAAAGAAAAAAAACAAAACAAATAGCAATTGTCGCCTTTTGTTCTTTTGATAATAGTCATATGATATCACTGACTGACATTGTCTCATTGTCTTATTCTTTCTATATGTATGTATATATTTATTCGCGCATCATGTGTAGTTCATCACTATGGTGATGACTAACCTATTCGTGGAAATATAATTTAAATAAATCAATAAATAACATATATTCAAGGTAGTTTCATACTTCATTTTTCGATTATTAACAAACATCACTTCGGTACCTTCATTCATAAAGTTCTAGTTAATAACCAATGAAACGATTGCATGTTCAACCGGATTAAACGTATTCTAGTGACTGTAGTCTTTCACCTGTTGCAGTCTGTGCCGAACATCTAAGGAAAGCATAAAGACGAAAAGCAACAGTACAACAAATAAACAATAAATCAAGCCTGCCTTACAGAATCCTATAGATTGTGTTAATGTCTGAATAAAATCAATTTTTTCTCCAAACGAATGCTCTACAAGATGTCTTTGAGCTTCTTTTCTACCATCTAGCCCAGTGGTTTTTGCAATAAACACTTTCTTGTTGCCAGGTCTCGCCTTAAACGAAAGTAAAGAAAGGAATGCTTTTAAAACTTGTGTCATTTTTAGGTAAAATTATAAACTTTCGGTGTTTTAATACAAGATCATTGTGATATTTCGAAACACCATGAACATGAAACGTTCATATGGAGAAGGAATTGAAAATCACAGTATTAAAAAATATTTTAAAAAGGCATCTGAAAATGAAGTCATCTTGACGAGAATGTCTACAAATGATGTCGATTCGTCAAATGATTCATTATCATTAGCAACTAATACACAATCAATTGTATTTCAAAACATTTCAAATAAAGATGAAACAATTGTAGAATCAAGCACACCAATGATTGAAAATAGAGATTTAGTCCGAAGTGGTGAACAAACGAATGAATCAACAGCAGGTAACTGGATATGTTTTATAACTCACGCTTTCTGATTTCAAGTCTTTGAAAATGATGATTTTCATTTTATTTTAGAAATATCAAGTACAAGTTCTTTGGAAATGATACCATCAACAACAACCACCAATGTGGTCAATAATAATCAATATTCTTTCGATGTCGATCAAATTGGTGTAAAGCTTCGTCTAATTGAACAATTAATAGGTTCATGCCAGGATTTAATTAAACAATCAACATCCATCGATTTATGCATTGAAACTTTTGCAAAAAATTCTAATGGTTTTGCTGATGCACTTATTCAAGCTGGTACTGAATTAAATTGTTTGTGTACAAATATTGTATCAACAATTGAATCAAATCGAAACAAAATTACAATAACTGAACGTGAAGAAGATAAAATGGTTAATCGAGATCCAGGTAAAGTTAGATTGTCAAAAGGCTGTCATTGCACTATTCATTCGATTTATTTATCCAATTTTAGGTTATTATAAATGCGACCACAAGTTCACTGAAGAACAGTTACGTTATCTTATTTCTGTAGGTCCGTTTCAAACCAGACTTTACAAATTTCCAAAAAATAAGGCATTAAAAGCAGCTAAGACAACATGCAAGTTTTCGGCTGCATGGTACGATGAGTACCCATACATTGAATATAGCAAACTGAAAGACTCAGTTTTCTGTTTCACTTGCAGATTGTTTGGCGAAGGTTAGGAATATTTTCTAATGTGTTTTTTTTACATTACTGTTGATATATTTCTATCGTTGTAATTCGTTTCAGGACCAGGAACTGAGAAAAAAGAACAAGCATGGATATCTACCGGTGTCAATTCATGGAATAAAATGAAAAGCCAAGGTGTTAACAGAAAAGGTGAGTATTAAAATTGACCCATTAGTCCTACTATTTCTTGAAAATCATTCCTCGCTTCTGTTGTTACTTTTTAGGAAAATTAGATACTCATTTTTCATCTGTCACACATAGATCGAGTGTCGAACGTTATTTAAACTATAAAACAAAAAACGTGAATATTGATTTAATGTTGGATAGTAGTCGACGTAAAGCAAATCAAGAACAAGAATCAATTTTACAATTAAATAAGCAGGTGATAGTAACATTACTTGATTCAGCTCGTTATCTGGTAAAACAAGGTTTGGCTTTCAGAAGAGAACCAGAGAGTCAGGGTAGGAACCGAGAACCAAAGGCAGTACGCTTTAACGTATTTTACACATTTTTTGCGGTAGGAAACTTTATTCAACTTATCAATCTTCTACGTCGAAGTAACATCACATTGAATGATTGGTTTTCACAAGCTAAATTACAAAAATATCAAGTATTATGCGGATTTTCTCTTCCCGTGTTCTATTAATAAAAACTGTTTTTCATTTAGGTATCATATATGAGCAAAAGATCCCAAGATGAATATATACAATTATTAGGTGCTGCAATTGAACATCAAATTGTCAATGAAATAAATCACTCGCCGTTTATATCCATTTTGATCGATAGTACCCCAGATTTGTCACATCGAGAAATGTATTCCATTGTCATTCGATATACATATAATTATCAAGTAAAAGAACGTTTACTCTCATTGCAAGAATTAGCAAGCAAAGTAGGTGAAGACATTTGTCAGTTATTATTAGATACATTAGGTCGAAAAGGTATATCAACAGACAAAATTGTTGGGCAATGTTATGATAACTCACCCAACATGAGTGGTGTTAACAAGGGTGTACAAGCATGTATCAATAAAAAGTTAAATCGACAAATAATGCATATACCATGTGAAGCTCACAGCTCAAATTTAGCTGTGGAACATGCCTGTGATTGTTCAACTGAATTCGTCAATTTATTTATGTTTTTAGAAGAATTATACAACTTTTTTACGTCTAGTGTGAAACGGTACTATGTTCTTCGAGATGCACTTGAAAAATCAACATTTGGTTTAACAGTAAAGTCATTGTCAGAGACACGATGGAACGCAAATTATGAGTCTCTTCATTGTGTTGTTGAGTCACATCATGAAATTCTTGATTGTTTAGAGTCCATTGAATCGATTGAATCAAAAGAATTTGATAAAGAAACAAAAGCTCAAGCTAAAAACATTAGAAATAAACTAATGTCGTACGAGTTCGTAGTGTTATTGAAGTTTATGGTCCATGTTACACGTACAACTAATTCCTTAACAATCCATTTACAAACAAAAGAACTGGATATATTATCATCATTGGAATTAATGACAAATACAAATAAATTGATTCAAAAAATGAGAAATGATGATGAAGCATTGAAGAGTATTTTGTTGGTGAGTCAAATGAAACCGTTATGTACTTCATCCTTACAGTTTACCTTTTATTCTAGATTGCTGAAAAATTGGTAGAACCTTTTAATATTGATATTGATCAGGAATTCAATCGATTACATAGACTTCGACAACGATCACGACGAATAGATGAAAATCCATTAACAGCAGTACAACTTACTAGGTGAGATCTGTAAAGTAAATTTGTGAGTAAACTCCCTATTTGTGCTATCATATTTTCTTGTAGAGAAGCGTTTTATGTCAAACTATTTCGACAAATATTAGATCATTTATATGTAGCTTACAATGATTATTTACAAGTCATGACTGAAAAATTACGTTATTTCCATAATTTAACACCTAATCGTATTCAACAACTAACAATAAATGATTGTAAACAGATGTATAAAATTGTACCAGGATTATCAAGTGAAGATTTATTATTTACAGAATTTGAATTATTACGTGATTCAATTGAACAGTGTGAAAATATGGAGAATGTTGTAGGACTGCTACAAAAGTCTGGTCATTTATATCCACGTGTTGCAAAGGTGTACAATTTCTTGTTTACCCTCCCAATCACAACAGCAACCAAGGAACGATGTTTTAGTAAATTAAAATTGATCAAAAACCACTTGCGTACAACATTAAAAAACGAAAGAATCGAATATTTAATTTTATGTTCTACTGAAAATGACTTATTGGATGATTTAGATTTAACAAAATTAGCAGATGAATGGGTACGATACTTTTTGTCTTTGTTTGCTTATAATGCAATCGAACGAAACACATTTGAGTTAATTTTTACATTTGCTTCATTTTCGACTGTTTTAGGCACAAATGAAAGATCGAAGAGTCAAAATTGGTCAAACGCAAAATAAGTGAAAATTATCAATGGACAGTATCACATGAGGGGTTTTTTATATTTAGTATATGTGGTGGTTTTCTTATTTTTTGTTTTATGATTGTGATTGTACATACTTTTTAAACTGTAATTGAACTTTGCTTTTTTTTCAAACACGAGTGAACAGATGAATATAAATAGTTTGTCCTTTATTGGTTCATAAACACACTTTCTTCTAGAAGAAAATTTATTGTAAAGAGTAGACACTACCTTCGCTGAAAAATTCAATTTACAACCCCCCAAAGTTTCGGTAGTCGGGCCAGCCCTGG